GACGATGAGGTGGGCAGCGGAGGGGGTACAGGTATATTTGTAGAACCAGGATCTGGAGAGATGTAATTCTGACTCATCCGAAGCCGTCGCGCGTACGCATCTTCGCCAGTCGCATCGTCTGGTACTATTGTGGTAGAAACCGCTGGAGGGGGTTTTGATAAACCCTCCGAATCCTGTCGTTCTGACCGAGGCTCATTAAGATTTGGAGGAGGCGCAAAGTTGAGGCCTGGAGGTCCAAATTGCCCTACACATGGATATCAGTAACATTATTATTACTTCTAGAGGAACAAGGTGTGGAACATACGATTTCTTGGTGATCTAGAGTATTCTTCATCGCTATCTAGACCACTGCTCGTTCTTCTAGCCATCCGATGCGCATACAGACGGTCTTTCCATTCTCGAACTTCTCGAATTTTCTCCTCGCTATGTCTATATGCTTCGTAGCTATTAGGTCGCGATGGGTCGTAAATATCATCCCAGTTCTGCAGGTTTGTTTCCTCGCGGTGCTTCTTGCGCTTTTTACGGCCGCCCCGCTGTCGTTTTTCCCCTCCATAAAACCCGTTCACGTCATCCTCTTCGGCCGTTGCAGCCCAATCCGCAAGTGACGTTTTTGTGGGAGGTTTGACGGCTATTCCAGACACAGGAGATGTTCCCACAGCGGAACCCACGACGGGTGCCTTGGGTATGCCGGGTTTAGCCTTAGTCTTCTGGGAAGCCAACTGAGGTCTTTTGGTAGGTTGAAACCGTAGAGAAGCTTAAATTCCATGGAGCATATCAAACAGGGCGAACGAGTGAGCAAACCAAATCGGATAGAGTAGAGATGTATGGTCAGGGAAGGGTAAATTGGCTACCAGCACTTATCTGCTGCTTCTTTGAAGCTGCATCATCTTGAGGCGCACCGTTTTCGCCGGATTGTTTAAATACAACAGGAGCACGCGAGATAGTGCCAGGGGTTGAGCCGTTATCTGAAGCGGGATCAAGCAAGTTGGCGTACAGCGACATCATGCCCCCTTTGGGGGGAGGTTGAGAAGCCATACTTCAAGGCGTGGGGAGTGAGTATCAACAAGAAGATACTCGTCGTTCATGTTTGTCGCGGAAAGTGCCCGTTGATGCTTGGCATGTTTGCAGCGTTTTGCACCAGGGGAGTCTCCATCCGGATTATTTATTATCCGTCATGCTCCTTTTCGGTCAAGATGTTCGGCAAGATGACCGACGTGCGTCATTGGTATGAACGTGATTCATAAACTGTCGAAAGCATTTTCGAGTGATATTGCTTTGTTTTATTTTTATCGTGATTAGGATTGGCATAGTTGTTAGCACCATTGGTATACCCAATCCAGTCATGTCTACGCTCGCGAATTCATTCACTAGCTCTGCTGCCACTGCCATTATTGTTCCTGGCAAGCCGAACCCGCTAACAATTTCGTACCAGCGCCTACGTTCTGATGTGAATTCATTCCAAGCGAAACTGGCCAAGCTGGGAATTTCACCTGGAGCTGCTGTTTCAATTGCGCTGCCCAATTCGTACGAATTCATTGTATCTTTTCTGGCTGTGTCATGGCAGAGAGCCATTGCGGCTCCTCTGAACCCTGCATATAAACAGGAAGAATTCGAATTCTACATTGATGACTTGAGTTCGGCATTAACGCTCATCCCAAAAGGCTCCTTTGCGAAAGATGGGCCGGCTGTACGTGCTGCGAGGAAATACTCTGCTGCTATTGCCGAATGCTACTGGAACGGAGTGGACGTGGTTTTGGACGTGAGAGAGTATGGAAAATTTGCCGGGAAGTGTGATTTAAAGAAGGAAACGGCTCAGCCTGATGACATCGCATTGGTGCTCCATACCTCAGGTAAGATCTATCTTAACAGCTGGAAAGCTTAACAGTCAACTCGGTCTCAAATTGAGTTCTTAAGCCGTCCAAATCCAGTGTTCTTAATTTAGTTTCATTGTTGATCTATGCCCTCGGTATAAGTAGCTAATACTCAATTAGGCACTACTGGTAGACCAAAAGCTGTGAGTTGGCCACAGATATCTGCCAGCAGATATTATACTTACGATGATTAGGTACCCCTTACCCACAGGAATCTGACAAGGACCATGAGTATGTTCTATCGTCGTAGACTCTGACTTCTTATTCCCTGGTTAACCGAAAAAAAACTTCAGGAAACATTCAAATGACATACGACTTGACGGAAAAGGACCGAACGCTGCTCATAATGCCTCTTTTCCATGTTCACGGGTTGCTCGCAGGGTTCCTGGCACCTCTTTTGTCCGGCGGCTCAGTCATTGTCCCTGAAAAATTCTCAGCTTCGACATTTTGGTCTGAATTCATTACGTACAGCGCGAACTGGTACACTGCAGTACCTACCATTCACCAGATTCTCCTTAAAACGCCACTCCCGAAACCTATGCCAAAAATTCGATTCATTCGCTCCTGTTCCTCCCCATTGTCCCCAAAGACCTTCCATGAATTGGAAAAGACTTTCCACGCTCCGGTACTAGAAGCGTATGCAATGACAGAAGCAGCCCATCAGATGACGAGCAATCCTCTTCCTCCAGGGAAGAGACAGCCAGGTACTGTTGGGATCGGCCAGGGAGTGGAAGTTAAAATTCTTGACGAAGATGGAAACGAAGTTCCTCAGGGATCTGAGGGCGAGATCTGCATCCGTGGGGAGAATGTTACCAAGGGATACCTTAACAACCCTGCTGCTAATGAATCCTCTTTCACAAAGTCTGGATTTTTCCGCACTGGCGACCGAGGAAAAAAGGACAAGGATGGTTACATTTTTATAACGGGGCGCATTAAGGAGCTGATCAATAAGGGAGGCGAGAAAATCAGCCCTATCGAACTGGACAACACGGTTGCTTATCACCCCAATGTAGCGGAGGCGGTTTCTTTTGCCATTCCCGATCCTCACTACGGCGAAGATATTGGGGTAGCAGTTGTGTTGAAGAAAGGTGGAAATCTGTCAGAAGACATGCTGAAGTCATGGATTGCGCCTAAAGTTGCAAAATTCAAAATTCCCAAAAAGGTGAAGCCTGCAAATCTCAAATCGTCACCCCTTTATCTAGCAATGTGGCTTGACCATGAATGGGTTTCTATCGTATTTATATACATCAAGCTAACGC